GGCAGCGAAACTTCTGAGGAAGACCAGTCCCCAAGATTAGTCTGTACGCAACGGCAGCGGCGGCGTCAAGTGGCTCCTCCATATTCTCACGCACGTAGAACAGGTCGAATTCAACGCTTGTGATGTCCAGATGGCCGAGTTCAATTTCCCGTACCGCATCTCTTTCCCTGTCCGTAATGGCAAGCGGACGCTTTATATTGCGTACTGAGGCGCGTCGGCCACCAGCCAGTGCACGGTTCTCGTTCAGCTCCATCATTTCTCGGCCGGCATTCACAGCAAACTCTAGCAGGTGGGAATTGTTAATGGATATGCCTGCGAAAAGGGAGAAAACACGAAATGTCTCCCGGTCGCTCGCCGTGAACACAGTCACCTCCCCGGTGTGATCCAGCTTGTTCACGAGCTGCACCACCGCAAGAATCTCACCGTTGAGCACAATTGGCTCACATAGAATGGTCTGTGTGCGGTACCCAAGCTGCTTGTCCACCTCACGGTTGAATCGGGGATCCTGGTAGGCATCGGGAATGTTTTCCCCAACGCCGGTCGATGCCACGAGGCCAGCAATACCTTGCCCACACGGAAAGCGGATCTCCTTCCCAGCCACGCTGTCCGCAATGCGGCTGTACAGCTCGTTCCGCTCCTTGTCCACCAGAAACAGCGCAGAGCGGTCTGCGTGCAGGAGCTTCTTTGCGCCGTGAAGCACGTGGCGCACAATGCCGTCCACGTCACGGATATCGGTGTTGGACAGCAGCGTCACGACATCCAAGATGGCATCGCTCTTCTTCTTCTCATTCACCAACTTCTCGTTGATGCGACAGTTGCGCAGAGAGGCGCCCGCAAACATGGAGAAAGTCTGGAAAAGCTCCTCGTCGCGCCTGCCAAAGGTGCGTGGCAGTCTCAGGCCGCTCTCCGTCACCATGTCCAGCTTGTTGATCAACTGGGCAACGGCCACAATCGAGCCCTCATACGTCACAGGCATGCAGAGAATCGTCTTGGTGCGGTATCCAGTTGCCTTATCCACCTCGCGGTTGAAGCGCTCGTCGGCGTACGCATCGGAAATGTTTACTGTTTCACCTGACTGGGCCACAAATCCCGCAATACCCGCGCTAATCGGGATGGTGACAATATTGCCATCTTCAAAGTGGGCCTCCAGTGTGTCGTCCTTGACGAGGAAGATGCTGCAGCGGTCGCTCTCCGTGAGCGCCTTGGCGGTGTTCATGATGGAGTTGGCAAGCACGGCCTCGTCCAGGTTGTCACGGGCGAGCTGCGTCGCCATTGTCAGCATGGCCTCTGCCTT